ACCTGAGGGTAGAACAAGAAGCAATGGGTGGAAACTAATCAAGGAGAGAAGCAACTTAGAACTGAGGAGAAATTTCCTGACAGTTAGAACAATGAATCAATGGAACAGAAGTTGCCTCCAGTAGTTGTGAATGCCCCAACACTGCAAGTCTTTAAGAAGAGGTTGGATAGCCATTTGTCTGAAACGTTGTAGGGTTTCCTGCTTAGGCAGGGGGTTGGACTAGAAGACCTCCAAGGTCCCTTCCAACTCTGCTATTGTCTTGTATTATTGTATTAAGCACACCATCAGGTAGCGACGGCTTTCCTCATTGACTTGGCTTTATTGGAAGCCGGCAGGGAAGATCACAAGTGGTAATGATGTGACTGCAGCAAGCTGTGGCAATTGCAACTGTGTGCAGGTTTCTTCCAACAGCTTTGTAAATCCTTAGTAAGGCCACACCTGGAGCACTGCATCCAATTTTGGTCACCAACATTACAAAAAAGAGATCTTGAGAGTTTAGAAAAAGTGCAGAGAAGAGCAATGAAGATGATTAAAAGCCCAGAGACTAAACCAGTGTTTCTCAACCTTGTCAACTTGAAGATGTCTGGACTTCAACTCCCAGAATTCCCCAGCCAGCATTTGCTGACTGGGGAATTCTGGGAGTTGAAGTCCAGACATCTTCAAGTTGACAAGGTTGAGAAACGCTGGACTAAACGATATACAAAGAACAGTTGAAGAAATTGGGTGTGGCTGGCCTAGAGAAAAGAAGGAGGGGGGGGGGCGCATGATGGCAATATTCCAGTATTTGAGAGGCTGCCACAAAGAGGAGGGTGGGTCAATTTATTTTCCAAAGCACCTGAGGGCAGGATAGAAAACAATGGAATGAAAACTCATCAAGGAGAGAAGCCACCTGTAATTAAGGAGAAACTTCTTAACAGTGAGGACAATTAACCAGTGGAACAGCTTGCCACCAGAAATTGTGGGTGCTCCATCATTGGAAGTTTTAAAGAGACTGGATGGAATGGTAGAGCAGGAGTGTCAAACTCAAGATCTGGGGGGCCCGGATTCGCCCCCCCCGGACCTTGAGTTCTTGGATTTGGCCCACGGGGCCACCCTAGAAATGGTAAAACGGCCCTCCTGAGCTCCACTTTCACTGGCAGAGGGCTGCAGGAGGCCATCACAGCTGAAAACGGAGCTCGGGACTCTGTTTTTGCTGGCAGAGTGCTTGGGCCACTAGCGCCCCCCCTTATAAGTGATGTCAAGCTGGCCGCGCCCACCCCAGCCCGTGAGAAGATTTTGCTGGTCTGCAGAAAAATCATTTGCATTTTTTGATAGTGCACTAAATCAGAGGTCCTCAAAGCGATGGCCCCTGGGCTGGATATGTGCAATGAACGCTTGTGTTGCTGCAGAGAGTCTCCCTCTTCAGGGTCTTTTTGTGCGAGTCGGAGTGGGGGGGGCAGAAATTCCGACTTGGGGTCTGCTTCATCCTCCTGGTAGGGGGCTTTGGGCGAAGGCTGGAGGGAAACACCGCTGGTGGCGAAGAGCCGGAGGGCCTCCTTCCAGTGGGACTGCATCATGGGCTGGAACTGGCCGACCATCTCAGCCCGCTGAGCCTCCAGGTGCCAGTATCTGGTCTTGCACTCCTGCAGATCTTCCTTCTGCTTGGAAAGCCCATGTTCCTAGTCCTCAGTGAGATGCTTCTGTTGTGCCTCCTTCTCGGCCAGATCCAATTTGAACTGAGCTAGCTGTTTTGCCAACTCTTTCTCATGGTGGCTACTTAACTCCAACAACTGCTTCCTGTTGTGGCCCTAAGAGGCCCGGGTGGGCAGGCGAGGAGTGGCTGGGAGGGAAGGGGCGAGTAGAGGCTTGGGAGATACCCCTTGATGTGAATGACATCAAGCTGGCCACGCTCATCCAGTCGCATGCCCACCTAGCCGCTCATTAGGCAGATCATATTAGCGGTCCGCGGGATTTAAAATTACGAATTTAAGCGGTCCCTGAGGTCTGTAAGCTTGGTGAGGCCTGGACTAGAAGACCTCCAAGGGTCCCTCCCAGTTCTATTTGGATCGATCGATTGAAAAGAACAGATGCTCGGAGCCGGGGCTGGGGTATGGTCGCCGAGTTTGCGCGGGGTGAAGGCCAGAGTGGAGGCCAATCACAGCCGAAACCTCTCTCTCTGCCTCTTCCGGAGCCGCCCACATCCCTGACTTTAGCGCCCCAAATCCAACCAAAAGCTGAAACTGGAGGCTGAGTGCAGGCAAGCCGCAAAAGATGGAACGAAAGGTCCTTTTCTCGTCACCCGAGACAACCCCGGGATGATGTTTTGAACGCTGTCCTCCATCCTGACCTCCGGAGCTGTGTCACTTGATAAAGCTCGTCTAGGAATTCACCGCAGAACTAACCTCTTGACTCGAGGCTGTTCCTCCCCTCCCCGCTCCCCCCCTCCACTGCTTAGGTCTTCGGCCCGAGTTGGAGACGGAAGCTGGCTTTCTTCGGAGCCGGAGGCCCCCTATTGGTTGTCAGAGAGATCTGTTGTGTCTGAGCCGCTGCCCGCACCACACGCAATGGAGGTTGGAGGGTGGGGCTGGGGGTGAGACCCCGGGTGCTCTCTGAGCTGGGTTGGTTTCCTTGCAGACGATGCGTGACCCAACTAGGGAACGTCAGCATTTGCTAGCAGGGAGCCGGGGTTTGCTCTCTGTTTATAGACACAGGGCTTGTCTTGTCAGTGTTGGTGGGTGTTTCTTGATGCTCCCTTGATGAGAAACCTTGATATACCTAATATATAAGCAGAGAGCAAACCCCACTCCCTTCTAGCACTGATGATGTTACCTAGTTGGGTAATGAAATGTCTGCAAGAAAACCACCAAGCTCAGAGAACACCAAGGACCCTACNTTTCCTTTCCTTTCCTTTCCTTCCTTTTCTCTCTTCTCCTTTTTCTCTTTCATTTCCTCCCCTTCCCTTTTTCTTTTTTTCTCCTTTCCTTTCTTTCCTTTCCTTCCTTTCCTCTCCTCTCCTTTTTCTATCTTTCATTTCCTCCCTTCTCCTTTTCTTTGTTTTTCTCCTTTCCTTTCCTTTCCTTCCTCTCCTCTCCTCTCCTTTTTCTATCTTTTACTTCCTCCCCTTTCCCTTTTCTTTCTTTCTTCTTTCCTTTCCTTTCCTTTCCTTTCCTTTCCTTTCCTTTCCTTTCCTTTCCTTTCCTTTCCTTCTTTCCTTTCCTTTCCTTTCCCCTGACAGCATGAACCGGTCAATTGTGATTTATTTAGCAAACCAAGTTTGGGAAGGCTGTGGCGTTACCCAACTCTGTCTGCATCCAATCCAATGGTGAATTTCACACCAAGCCAAACCGAGTTCGTAATCCGCAGCCTTCCCTTTCGCCAAAAGCAGCGTGGCTTTTAACACCACGTTCGTCAAATCGGTACGTGATGGATTCTCGCTGGGTTTAACTAGGGCTCATAGTGGAAGGGAAGGCCTCCGGGTTGGGGAAAGCACAGGTGGCCTTGGATTGACCAGAGTTCATTTAGTGACGGTTCCAAGTTACAACCGCACTGGGGGGGGAAAAGCAATTAAAAAAAACCCTTTCTCACGCTGAGGACCATCGCAGCAGCGTCTGTATGGTCACACAATTCCAAAATCAAACGCTCGGCCAAACCGACTCATATTTAAGATGGTGGCGGTCCCCGCGATCATGTGACACCCCCCCCTTTGGTGTGTCCTTCTGACAAGCAATATCAAGAGGGGTGGGGAAATCAGATTCACTTAATAGCCGAGTGACTAATTTAACCTCTGCAGCGATTTAGTTAGTTTCGTTTCGTTTCGTTTATTGCCATGGTATCTCGTACAATGAAATTCAATGCCACCTTCGCCGTGCCTTATAACTACACAAATAAAAAAACAACACCAACACCCAGCCTTCCGCTTCTATACAATTGAATTGAAAACCCTTGCTATTGCATTCGTATTGCTCCATATACCGTCAAATTCAATATACCGTATTTTTCAGACTGTAAGACGCACCGGAGTATAAGGCGCACCCAGATTTCGAAGCGGTAAATTTTTTTTAAAAAGGGATTTTTGATTTATTATATTTCTATGCCGCCCTTTTCCCCGGAGGGGACTCGGGGCGGCTTACAATCCAAATCAAGGGGTACAAATAAGGGAAAGAAAAAAGCACAAAACAAAACAGTACCACAATTTAAAAGCACACANAGATTGATTTTAATACGTGGGATTATTCCACTCAAGAACCAATTTCGCCTGCTAGGTTGGCAGAAGCTGGGACAAATCACGGGAGCTCACTCCGTTATGTGGCTCTAAGGTGAACCCTGTTAAGGTTGAATCAATGGGGAGCCCACGAATCTAGCAGGATTCGCAGAGAAAGCCTGCTTCCCTTTGGAGCAGGGTTCAACCCGGAGCGGAGCGAGGATTCCGAAAGCAGATGCAGGAAATAAGACTTGGGAGGGTGGAAATGCACGACACTCTCCTTCGCTGCTCTCCGTGGGCACGGCTGAGAGGAAATCTGCAGGCACTGGCAGCCTTTTATCATCCAAAGGATGAGGTAGGCTTCCCCCCCCCCCGCCCCCACCTGGCACCAGACGGACCTTGGACTCGATGGTTCACACCCCCCCTCGCTCCTTACTCCTCCCCCAGCCACCCTGCTGAGTTCCTCAACTTAAAAGTGCTGTCCTGACAACTTGCTGATCCTTTATTCTTAAGCTGGCGTGAGGGCAGGCGGGCAGTTCAACAGGGGGAAAGCCAAGCCCAGAACTGGTGAGTCCTACTCAGTTCATCTCTTAGACAGTTCTCCTCCTCCTCTTCCTCCTCCTCTTCTTTTTCTTCTTCTTTTTCTCCTCCTCCTCCTCCTCCTCTTCCTCCTCCTCTTCTTCCTTTTGATAGGTTTGGATCTGGGCTTAGCATCCTTTCCTTTACCTTTCCTTTCCCTTCCCTTCCTTTCTTTCCTCTCTTCTCTACTTTTTCCATCTTTCATTTCCTCCCCTTCCCCTTCTTTCTTCCTTTCTTTTCCTTTCCTTTCCTTTCCTGTCTTGTCCTGTCCTTTCCTTTCTTTCCTCTCCTCTCCTCTCCCCTCCTCTCCTCCTCTCTTTTTCTATCTTTCATTTCCCCCTTCCCCTTTTCTTTCTTCCTTTCCTTTCCTTTCCTTTCCTTCCTTTCCTCTCCTTTTTCTATCTTTCATTTCCTCTCCTTCCCCTTTCCTTTCTTCCTTTCCTTTCCTTTCTTTCCTCTCCTCTCCTTTTTCTATCTTTCATTTCTCCCCTTCCCCTTTTCTTTCTTCCTTTCCTTTCCTTCCTTTCCTCTCCTTTTTCTACCTTTCATTTCCTCTCCTTCCCCTTTCCTTTCTTCCTTTCCTTTCCTTTCTTTCCTCTCCTTTTTCTATCTTTCATTTCCTCCCCTTCCCCTTTCCTTTCTTCCTTTCCTTTCTTTCTTCTCCTCTCCTTTTTCTATCTTTCATTTCCCCCTTTTCTTTCTTCCTTTCCTTTCTTTCCTTTCCTTCCTTTCCTCTCCTCTCCTCTTTCTATCTTTCATTTCTCGCCTTCCCCCTTTCTTTCCTTTCCTTTCTTTCCTTTCCTTCCTTTCCTCTCCTCTCCTTTTTCTCTTTCATTTCCTCCCCTTCCCCTTTCCTTTCTTCCTTTCCTTTCCTTTCTTTCCTTTCCTTCCTTTCCTTTCCTCTCCTTTCCTCTCCTCTCCTCTTTCTATCTTTCATTTCTCGCCTTCCCCCTTTCTTTCCTTTCCTTTCTTTCCTTTCCTTCCTTTCCTCTCCTCTCCTTTTTCTCTTTCATTTCCTCCCCTTCCC